ATGCTAAACTAAAAATTCAATGGAGACACTAAACACAGAGTCCTCAGAGCTGGAGAGAGAATACTGGGATTGGAATACTGATCTGAAAAAGTCATTCTGAAGAGCACATAGAGAGTGAAAACAGAGGCGAAGAGATATGAGGGTCCAACACACACCTCACGGGAGTTCTAGGGCAGACCACAGGAGGTGGAACAGTGGTAACATCCGAAGAAATGTGACTAGAATTTTTCCAGAAATTATGCCAAACATGAAATCCTATAAAAAGTAACATATATAAGAATATTTACATGCAGAATATTAAAACTAGAACACCAAAGATAAAAAAGAAAATCTTTAAAAAGCATCAGAAGAAGCCAGGCAGTAGTGGCACACTCCTTTAATTCCAGCACTCAGGAGGCAGAGGCAGGTGGATCTCTAAGTTCAAGGCCAGCCTGGTCTACAAAGTGAGTTCCAGGACAGCCAAGGGCAATACAGAGAAACCCTGTCTGGGGTGGGGGTGGGGGTGGGGGCAGGGAAAGAATCAGAAGATTGCCTTCAAATGAAAAACAATTATAGTGAGAAAAGATTTTTTTCTGTTTTTGACTCAGAGTCTTTTTCTACATAGTCCTAACTGGCTTGAAACTGGCTTTGTGGACCAGGCTGGTCTCAAACTCATAGAAATCCACCTGCCTCTGCCTCAGAAGTAATGGGATTAAAGGAGTGTGCCACCATGCCCAGCCTGAAAGAATATTTGTTGAAAGTAACAAGTGAAAACAATCTATTGACTTTTAAGTGCTAAACAAAAACTATCAGGCTAGAATTATTATTTTTTTTTTTTAAAGTAAGAATTCCCCCTCCCTCTTTCTAAAAAGATTTATTTCTATTTTTATTTGTATGTATGTGTGTACCCTCAAAGGTCAGAAGCTGGAGTTATACGTAGTTATGAGTCACCTGAAGTAGGTGGGATCTGAACTCGGGTCCTCTGGAAGAACAGCAAGTACTCTTAACTGCTGAGCCATCTCTCCGGTTCTCAGCCCAGAATTCTAAACTTAGCTGAAGTGACACATGTTTAGACATATGAAGGTGACTAGCTGCAGGAAGAACGGTGCTTTTTAGTAAAAAGAAAATTTATCAAGAGAAGGCCAGCATGAAGCGATAAACTAGAGGAGAAGGACAAGTCTGTAGGTAAATCCACTGGGGGGAAACTGAGTCAAACTGAGCTTAGACTGTATGGGAGCGGGGTGCAGCTGTATGAGAGACAGCGTTTCTCTGTGTAACAGTCCTGCCTGTCCTGGGGCTCGCTCTGTAGACCAGGCTGTCCTTGAACTCCCAGAGATCCACCTGCCTCTGCCTCCTGAGTGCTGGGACTATTGAGCCATCACGCCTGGCTCAATATTCTTAATTCTACTTACAGAAATTTAAAAATGACTAAGAAGAATCAAAAGAATACCCTAATGGTTAAATGGACAAGGACATTAAGTGTCAATTCACACACAATATGAAGTGTGCGTCAGCAAGTTCTGGACACTGACAAGGAGGCTAAGTGACTGTCCGAGTTCACGAGGGGAGTTAAGGGAAAACTATAAACCCCTGGCAGTTATCCAGCGGTGTGGCCCACACCTTTAATCCCAGCACTTGGGAGGCAAAGTCAGGTGGATCTTTGTGAGTTTGAGGCCAGCCTGGTCTACAGAGCGAGATCCAGGACAGACAGGACAACACAGAGAAACCATTTTGAAAACAACAACAACAACAAAACCCAGGCAGTCCTGTCTTTTAAAAATCTGTGAATGGATAATGACATTCTCTTCAACACTAACAGTATTCATATCTAACTAGAAAAGACAGGCTCTAAAACCGAATCGCAGTGAGACCCCTTCTGGCTCACATGCTAACATGAATGTCCACGCAGACTTGGAAGAAATGTCGGAAGGACGCTGGGTTAAGTGGTTGGGCTGTGGGGGCTTTTCTTTCTCTGTTTACTTTCTGAACTTAAGCAAAACAAAACAGCAACAACAACAACAACAACAACAACAACAACAAAACCCGAAACCCTTTCAGAGTAGGTGTACGGGGTTGGGGATTTAGCTCAGTGGTAGAGCACTTGCCTAGCAAGCACAAGGCCCTGGGTTCGGTCCTCAGCTCCAGAAAAAAAAAAAAAAAGAAAACAGAGTAGGTGTACACTTCCATAAAAAAGGCAAAATTATGTTTAAAAATAAAAATGGTATGCAATGAAAGAACATGTAAGTTTTTTTCATGACTCCAGTTACCTAAACACATCTGTCTCAGCACAGACCCGCTCAGGCCAATCCCTAAAGCCAACCGTCCAGACCTGCTTCTCCAGGAGTCTTTCGACCCCTACTGCCCAGTTACTATTCCTAAAACAATCTAAGCTTCCTGTAACTTTGATACTTAAAAACTTCACTATTTTGTGTTCTTACATAAGAAAATAAAAATGCCTCAGCTCCACACCCTAGCCTTTCCCACTTACGGTGTATAATCCAACTGTTTACCTTGCTACCATATTCTGGATAGTCGGGCCTGTAGTTCTGTGTCTGCGCACACTGCCTACGACGTATGTGACTTGCTCCTGGAGTTAGCTGGAAATAGAGCATGCTCTCCCTTCATATACTCATGTTTTATGTACGGCCCTGCTTATACACCTCCTCCTCCTGAGACACTGACAGTTCCCTAAGACGCTTGAAGAATCCACAGTTCGTTCGTTCTCTCTCTCTCTCTCTCTCTCTCTCTCTCTCTCTCTCTCTCGGCTCTCACTTCCTTCCCTCTGTTCTGCATTTCCTGATAGCTAGGCCTGAGACAGACTCTTTGCTTGTCTCTGTAGTCCTCTCTTCTTCTTTTGTTAACTGAACGAAGTTAACCAAACAGACACACCCAATGCCAGCAGTGGCGCTCAACATGTTCAGCTGTTTTCAAAGGGCCTGTCTGGTTGGTTATTAGATATTTTCCTTCTCTGAGCATCCACAATGCAGTCCAGCATGGCTGGCGCCTCACAAGCTTAGCTCCTCACCTCACAGACGCCGCCTTCTCAAGAAGGTGCTGCCGGGGCCAGAGCGTTGTGCTTTACTGCAGTTTGGTGACCACTCTTTGTAAGACCCCGGGAACTGGAACCCAGCCTTTACCTTTTGGTGTTGTGTATGGTTGTGCCCCCCAGGACGATCCTCACTCCAGGAGTGGTACGGTTCAGGTTATAAACCGTCAGCGCCTCTTCATAGGTGGCTCCTCCAATAACAAACACGATGATGTCCTGAGGCCTGTGAAGATGAAGACAGGAGAGAACGTCACAGGCTAAGACATAAAAGGGGGCAAAGATTTGTTATTAGCACACACGCAGTTTCAATTTCTAACCCCCCCACCCTGTTTTTGGTGAAGGAAGCAGAATTAAAGCAGAATAAAGGGTTTAAAAAAAGTTTTAATTATCTCAAATTGGCAGGAAACAGAGAGAAATGCTGAATAGTGATTTGCTTTCTGCTTATGAGCGGATGTCTTATTTCTGTGCTGGGGATTTCAGAATAGCACAATGGTGTTTGCTGGAACCAAATGCAAAAATATTCTTTTATGTTCAAGAGTCTGCGGAGTGCTGTGCTGCAGCATGCTTTCAATAAGCAGCCATTTATGCTGTGCCACACAGCTCCTTCATCGACAGCGCCGTACAGAGCACTTAGATACAGTGCTGTGATTGTGGCCCCTGCCCAAGGACTCTGAGCAGCTAGCAGAATTCTAGTACACTGGGGGGTCCCTATGCCGTAGGACCAAAATCATTTCTATGATGATTCCATAAAAGATCAGGACACAGGGCTGGAGAGATAGCTCAGCGGTTAAGAGCACTGGCTGCTCTTCCAGAGGTCCTGAGTTCAATTCCCAGCAACTGCATGGTGGCTCACAGCCATCCATCGTGGATCTGATACCCTGTTTTGGAATAAAGGAGTACATGCAGATAGAGCACTCATATACATAAAATACATAAATAAAATCTTAAAAAAGAAGAAGCCGCATAAACTAACAGTATGACCCCCTTCTTCCGTGTTCTTTGGTACTAAGAAGTGCACAGCTGGGGTCAGACACTGGTCACTGATGCACAGCTGGGGTCAGACACTGGTCACTGATGCACAGCTGGGGTCAGACACTGGTCACTGATG